GGGGTGCCTCCAGGACCAGGGTTGGGAACCACTGCTCTATATAATGGTTTGTCAAAAGAAAAAAAGAGCTCAAGTTGCTTATGAGATTATGACTAAACGTTTATTCTTGAATTTGCACTCAACACTGGTCTCTCGAGGAATACAAAAATATCCACTAGGTGTCTCTCTTGCACCTTTGTTTCCAAGTGCAGAACAGGTTGTTCAAAAAAAACTACATTTTTTTTACAAACCTCGTCACATAATACATACTAGGAGGACTAAGTTTACCACTGGCAAACAATAAAAATCTAATAATAAATTGTAGTAAAATTCTACTCAATTACAATTGAACAAATAGAGCAATAAAATACATTTTAAAATGTAGTAAAACATATAAATTAAGTAATATTTATTAAAAGATACTATAGGAATATTAAGATGTTAAGGAAAGGCCATTCTGACTGAAACGATGCCATCTTGTGGTCTCCCCCAATAAATGGCCATGCTTCTCCTTATTTTCACAATCCTCTTCATCTGGTAGATGGTCTGCGGAATCCTCAGGGTATTTCGAACAAAGATATGAAGATGTTGGCATAGAGAGAAATAGTTTAAAATCTAGAATATATTATGCACTAAATAATTTCATGCACTTCATGCAAATAGTTGTGTTATCTTTATTTTTTTGCTGTGGTCTGAGGTTTGTCTGGATTTAACATGCAGTAAGGTTTAAACAACAGATTTATGAAAGAGCCAAATAACTGCCTCATAAAATGGGTAAATAGTTAGTAATTAAACAAAGTATGTACATAAAATACCCTTACTCAAGATGTCAAAAACATTTTGCATTATTTTTCCTTCACCTGGCCTATTATGAAAATTTTAAAGAGCCATTATTTTCAAATTAAAATCATACAGTGATTATAAGAAACATTGTAAACATGTTTTTAGTTAGTTTCAGTATATTTCAATATAATTATACCACAACAAAATATTTTATATTTTTATTTGCGATGATTGGCGAGTTTACAGTTTCCAGCAACCCTGTAAAGGTAATTCATACACGTATTATAATTCATCAGTTGCACTGCAAAGTTATATTGGTGATACATTATAATATATTATTTGTTTACTTACATATTTAGCTTTGATTTCACCAGCCATCATGCCATGCTCAGATGTCTGTAATTTTTTACATTTTTAAACATGTAAAAAAACATTTTTTCTTTAAAAATAAAATTGAAAATAAAATATAATTAAATGTATAAACACATAATTAACAGTATATATTATATACTACATCAATTACAGTACTGATGAAAGGTTTGGGCTCAATTTTCCAACGTTTTTTTTTTT